TACAATCGTAATCCAAAGTCCTCACCAGTATGACAAAATAATAAAATAGCAAAAGGGCGAAGACGAGTCTCGTGCGTGAGACGCATGGGCTGACTCTTCAAAACCTTGGTTGTTCCACACAAACTTCACTGAGGCTGGGTTGGACCTCCCTTGGCTCACCTACAGACACATGAATGAGCGTGAGCGAAAGTCCAGCGAATAATATCAAATAAAGAAGTTACACGAACGGTACTTAGAACAATATACATCAAACGGCCTTGGGCCTAATTCATATTTCTATTAGGCATATATATATATATATATATATGGGTTAGGTGACCGCGATTCCAAACACATTAGACGGCCTCGGGCCCAATCCATTCATGTCAAACGGCCTTTGGCCCATTTATTTTTTCATTCATGTCGGACTGGCCTTTGGCCCAACCATTCTTTCATTCATGTCAGACTGGCCTTTGGTCCAACCATTCATTCATTCATATCAGACTATCATTCGAGTCAGACTATCATCCATATTAGACTCTCATTCGAGTCAGACTATCATCCATATCAGACTATCATTTGAGTCAGACTATCATTGATGTCAGATGGCCTCCGGCCCATTCATTTATAGCAAACGGCCTTAGGCCCAACCATATGGCATAGCAAACATTTATCCACAATTTAAATCAACAAACTCATAAAACTTATAGAGGAATAAGCAATTGGACAAATGACATATTTCAAAATATCTTTATTAAGATATTACTCACAGTGCTCTGCCGGTGGATTCACCATTGAGCTTGACCCTACACATTACATAATACATATGGGTCACAAACGATTCAATCTGTTCTTAATTCATACATCCCTCTTAGGCCTCTTTCCTATCCTTTTAATTCATTCATAATACGCAATGCATGCCTAAGAGTGCTTAGAAGTAAAAGAGAACGGAAAATGAAACACAAAACACTTTTACAAAATTTCAGAAACAGGGGTCCCTGTTCGAGCGTGGACTTCCCCGCTCGAGTAGACCCATTAAGTCTGCAAAAGTACTGGTTACCTCAATTTTACGCTCGAGCGTGAATTCGGACGCTCGAGTTGAAAGTTACTTTACATAGCTCCCCGCTCGAGCGGACATCAATGTCTGCGAAATATTCTGGGAGCTCGTATTTTACGCTCGAGCGGCGGTTTTCCAGCTCGAGCGGACTTCAAGAATTCTGGGTTTTCTAGAACTTGTTATTGAGCTTAAATTCAACATTCAAAGGTTCCAAAGCTCATGATTTTGGTTCAAAACATGCAAATACATCACAATATATGAGAATGAAAGAGTATGACACCAATTTGCTCAAAATCATCATCCAATTCTCAAATTATCCAACATTTCCTTTGTATAATCAAAACTCATGCATTCAATTTCATACCAAATTCATATCTCTATCAATTCAACATGCATGTTAGTCTTTGACCCCAATTCCATTTCAAATGGCACTAATGATGCTCATAACCATGAAAAACAACAAAACCATGCTTGCATGTATGCCTTAACACTCATTTTCCCACATTCAACTTAATACATGCTTGATTATGCAAAATCATGGTGATCCTATACATGCATGTGCAAATTAACTTCAATTTCACCAATTATAACCCAATTCTTGTTCTAGGTAAGCTATTCCTTTTGAAATCATATGGTTACAAACTCAAACCCATGAATTAAGGGTTGGTTACTCACCTAGGAGCCTCAATCTTCCAAACTTATGCTTAATTCTTGAGTTGGTCTTCAAATTATTCAAGCTTCAAGATCAAACTTCAATTGTTTCCCTCTCTCTCTAGCCGACCCTCACTCCCTTTTCCTTGGAGCAATTTTCGGTTTTGAGCTCAAAATAGATGAATATAAGCATAATAGACCTCCTTTTATAGTCTCTCACTAATCATATTTGATTAGAGTTAAATAATAATAATTAATTAATCGTTCTGAATCTGATTATTTTGATCCGAATAAATTTTCAATTAAATTTCACCGTAGGCTCTAAAATTTACGCTAATCACAATGACGTAATCAATTTCGATTTCTGTGGCCGATAAGGCCTTCAATTTTCAGTTTATAATAGTAAGTTGAACAGATATTCCTACGGTAAACAGATAGAAATTCAAAACCACATATATTCATATAAGTAGCACACTAAATCATATCAAACACATAATCACAATCACAATTAAGACTAATTAGCATAATACGAAACAGGGTTATCACAGTCTTCCCGCTCGGTCCCTTTGCAGTTGGCTCTCCTCTCGGTTGATCTTCCCACTCGATCCCGCTTTGCGGTCGACTCTCATCTTGGTCAGTCTTCCCACTCGGTTCCCCTTCATAGTCGACACTTCTCTCGGTCGGTCTTCTGACTTGACTCCACACAAAACCCATCTCCCATCTTATTCCCTTCGTTGGACTGAAGCTGCACTTGGGAATGGGGGACTACTGACATCAATGGGCCCATAGAGGCTTTTGGCCCACCACTTAGAGCCCAATTCACGGTTTAAGTACTAAAGCGCAACACTACTAAAAACCAACGTTGCATCAAAAACCAATGGCATCTAAACACTTGTCAAAAGGAGAACCAGCCATATAAGTAGATAAAGATCCTACAAAGTTATTGCACCACACATCAGCCATTAATAAGGCTCCGACGACATTAAATGTGATAACCCCTTCACGTCGGAACGAGCAGCCTCACCATAAACAAGGCAAGCTAGAGCATAGACTTTCGACCAACATGACAGGTCGGAGTGGACAAGGAAATGATGAACGAAGGATATAAGGAGGTTTCCAAAGACACAAAAAGGTTAAGTTCTCTATTCTCTCCCTCTCTCTCTCTCTCTTTTTGGACACAACATCAATCTCTCCTCTAACTTAATCGTCAAAGGGTCCGCTGGGGGACTCCGGTTCCCCGTTGGATATTCTTGTAGGTGATCCGGCAAGCTTAAAGACTGGTGAACGTTGTAAGAATTGTGGGTCAGCCCAACTCGCTCTCTAGGAATCAGCAGTATCATCAGTTATATATATCATGACTATAATGTAACGAATGGAAATTTTGATTGTCGATATTGAAATTTTAATATAATCACATTAAATTTTTTTCGGTTGAATTACATTAACAATCTTTATAATTTGAGATTTGTGTCATTTTGATTCCTAACTTTTCAATTGTGATACATTTGACCTTAAATTTTGAATATTGTTTTAACCAATGATAATTAAAGATGTTTCACTTGCAAATGGTCTATTTTAAGGGCAAAGTCATCATACAACTTATTTTGTATTGATTAACTTATATGTTGTTTGAAACGTAATGACATTTTTTAAATAAATAATGCTGAAACTTTCTTGATCATAAAGTTCTATTTGGTATTTTCAAATTTTTTTTCTACGAAATTAAAAATTAAATTGGTGAAAAAAAATTAAAACATATCATTTTTATATAATTTTATCTTTTGGGAGGGTAGAAATAATTTTTTAATATTTATTTTCGTTAAATTAGTTTATATTTTTTCAATAGTCAAACATGGGGACAAATTTATTACCATTATTAAACCAATCTATTAAATTAAAAAATTCAAAACTAAAAATATTTCATATATTAAACATATCAATTACAAATTAAAAGCACAATAACTATCCATTACATGATAATCATAAAAAAATATCAATAAAAATAATCACCCATTACATGATTACTATCCAAACTAATACTAAAAATTAATTTGGTAAAAAAATAAAAGAATAAAAATGTACAAAATTTATCATTTTTATATAATTTTATCTTTGGTGGGTAGAAATAATTTTTAAAAATTTTAAAATAATTTTTTGACATTTATTTTTATCAGACTAATTTATATTTTATAAAATTGATAACTTTGTCCTTAAAATGAAGTAATTATATTTTTAATTATCTTTATTTAAAACGAGATTTAAAGTTTAAAATTAAATATATCATAATTAAAAAGTCAAAGGTCAAAATAATACAAACGATAATGCTACGTAGCTCAAATTTTGTGGCTCAAAAGTGGCTCAAATGGCCAAAACGACGTCGTTTTGAGTACAGAACAACATAACCACTTTTGAGCTACAAAATTTGAGTTACGAGACATTTTCCTAATACAAACGATAATACTACGTAACTCAAATTTTTGTGGCTCAAAAATTCATCCCGTCCTTTTTAGGTACTTCAATTGAAGTTTTGAAAAAAAAGAAAATATTAGTCAAATTTGAAAGTTTGTCTTCAATTTGCTCCACCGCTGCCGATTAACCAATGATTGTTATTATCATTTATTCATGCATATGTGTGTAAGTTGTGTCTTAAAAATCTAATAAGTAACCATTGCTCTTCAGTGATTAAAAAAGAAAGAGTAAATTAAACTTACTTTTCCTTGAAGTTCATTCACTATAAGAAATAATATTTTGTCGATCAAAAAATTAGTCGTTAAAAGTTTATTTTTAGTTGGTAAAAGTTATTCGCGATCAATTTTTTTGATCACTACTTTGATCGCCAATTGAGGGTTGGCAAAAACAATTCGCGACCAAAATTTTTATTGGTCGGGAAAAGTTAGATTTGCTAACTAAATTTTTTGTCGCTAAATATATCATTACTGCGACTAATCCATTTTGTCGGTAAAGCACTTTGGTCGCAAAAAGTAATATTTTCCCAACCAAATATCTTAGTCGCCAATTGTCACATTCCACGACCAAACAAATTAGTCGCCAAAAGTCGAGGAATCGCCGACTAATAATTTACTCGCCAAAAGGTAAGGCATTGCCGACCAATGATTTTAGTCGCAAAAGTGTAGAATTTGCCGACCAATTTTTTAGTCGCCAAATCTCTCTCTCTTTTTTTTTTTAAGAGCAATAAATTTTTGTTTATAAACATTCAATCCAATATCGAACAAAATTCATTCAACCCAACCACAATAAAGAAACAATAACATTTAACAATAATTAACAAATTTTCTTTCTTGTAACTTCACTAAATCATCAAATAATAATTGAATTCCATTTAAAACAAAGATTAAAATATGTAACCAACTAAATTACAATAATTATTACAATAATTGAATATGAGAAGGGATGTCACGCTGCAGTTCCCAAAGCACTTCAATTGATTTGCCATGCATTTGATCAATCCTAGCATCTTCACCAACTAAATTAACTCTCAACAGCAGCAACATACACACACTAGCCTGCCTTCACCAGCATTGCAAATTGACACTGTGAAACAAAACAGAACAGACCAGTAGCATTGCAAAAAATAATTTAACACATAGTAGTCCTCATAATTTAACACATTGAAAAAAAAAATAATAATGCATTCTTAGGACAATTTGTTTTCCTCTTTACTTGAAAACATGATTTTTTTCCCCCCTTCAATGAAGTAAATGTAAAAAGTAGAGAATACATCACACCAATTACACAACTCTGCAGAGAGAAGCGAACGCAGAAGTTTGTCAATAAATCAATATTTAACAGCAACTTTTAAGTAAAGAAAAAATACATACCCATTCCCGATGCACTAATTGTTCCAAGAGAATCAATAGTTATAGTTCTTGCCCTATGAAATGAATAACGAATCCTTCTATACAGCCTTCAACAAGGATATCCTCAACTCGGCAAATCTAAAGAAGCAGATGGATAAAGATGTTAAAATGCCTAAATAAATAAACACCGAACCCTATCAGTAAAAGAACTTATCCATAACCAGTCAGTAATTCTGGGAGGGGGAACTAAATGCTTTAAATACCCTCAAAGACAACAATAAAAAATGAACAATTATAATCAGACATCCACTTGCATGGATACTATAGATCAACGACAAAACTAGACATTGGGCCTCAATACAATCTCCTGGTCCTGATAGGTTTAGCAAAGTCCATGAACTCCCAAGTTTGCATTAGAATGTATGATAGATGATTCCTGATAAAGAAAAATAGAAAACATGTCATCAATGAGTGCTTATGAGTATCATAATATATGCAATGGTCAAGGTTTATCACTGCAGCACCCTGAGAACAACTAAGATTACTAGCTTCAACCAAAGATGTCTCCACATTTGCATCTCCAGCACCATCTATAAGCTTTGTTAAATTCCACATTAAGAGCATTTTCCAAAGTAAGCCTTTTCTTTCCTCATAACAAGGGTTGATTATAATATAAAAATGTTGACTCAACCAATGATATTGAAGATATCTACTCAAAAAGTAGCAAGCACTATTATATTGAAGATGTATGCCAAAAACCAAAACAAGAAAACAACAACAATGAAACACAAAAACTGCTAAGTGTAAGAATCAAGTTTAACCATAAGAAATAGGAAGGAACAAATCTAAGAATTAGGATTTGGAGCTAAATCAGGATAGGCAAGCAATGCTAGTTTGTCTTGGTCTCCATACACAATAACAGACACAGGACCATGGGCAATTTGTACAATATGTTCATACAATAAAAAATAAATAAAAAATTGTGCATTAGAAACACATCAATCATGGATAAGGAAGAAAAAAAGAAGCATTAATCAATAGAGGATGATAATTTCCAAGAATTCATCAAAATGGTAGAAAACTATAAAGATCCATCAAAAATTCAAAATGAGAACATCCTTGGTATAAGCAATCATTTGTTTTGTGTATAGACCATTCAAATAAAGAAAAACTACTGCTTACTAATCTTATTCCCAGAAAATGATTGGCATGTGCACTGCCCCCTTTAGAGCCTGATTGCTAAATCAACATAATATTTATTTCTAAAAGGATATTAAACAAGTACTAAAGCACACACATATAGTTGTAGAAGATTTTCAACTTGTGAAACATAGGGAAGCTGGAAACAAATGAAAACAAACCAGTTTCATATTAATTTAGAATAAACATAAATAAAGTTTGGAATTCAATCCAGAATTCGGTTATGTAAAATCCTATTGGCCCAATAAGAAATTCTAAATTTTCTGTTCTTGTTTATAAGCTCCGCAGTTTGCATCATGCTCGATCACAGTGCACAAAACTTGGTCTTAACTTTGGCTACGTTGTGGCATAATATACCACAAGCAAAGAAGTTGCAAGCTGCAACTTTGTTGTCATGATGCCTAAAATTGATTTGTTATGACTCTACCTTTTCAAAGCAACAAGGCCTACCATAAGAAGCCCATCTTCTCTGTGACACCATTTATTGTATCTGGAATAAGCAAACTAATGGTGGAATAGCTTGCAAATGAAACTAATATCGTAGTCTTATTGAAATCTGAAAATTGAGTCATATTCTCAAATTTGATTTGCCTTATTTGGATTGTGTTGTGGTTATCTCGTTTCTCCATGAAGAGTTGTCTTTGGTAATTTTCTTGTGAGGGTGAAATTTGGAAAAACAGAGGTTGCCACTAAGTACAGTTGTGTTCAGGGTGATTGGACCTAATGCAAAAGCATCTGCAGTGTTAGTACATAGAGGTATTAGGAAGGGGCAAGCAAATTCTCAAAACATTTCCATGGACTCTTCTAAATTTGTGAAGTACTCATGTTGGACACTTGACACTTGAGTAAGGGTATTAAACTAATGCTCTTAAGTATTTAAGAAATATGAAATATAGCCTTATCTTGGTGTCCTCAACATGAGAATTAGTTGAATCCGGCACTCAGACACATGCCCATACTTGACACTTGTACCCAAGCTCATTTATCTATGTCATATGGAGAATTACTAACAAACAAATCATATACCAAGTTCAAAATTTATATCTATGTCAAACCTTGGAGCCAATGAAGTAGTAGTCTCTTTGACAAATCCTCAAACAGCTTCTATGCACAAGTTTTGTATACCCAACGAGACCATGTTCTATCAAACACAAAGTAATCATTGAACATATATATATATATATATATATCATAGAAATCATACAAATTAACCAACTAGTAGCCTACTCTCATAATAAAACCCCAAAACTCCATGAATTTCACAATAAACAGTACACAAAATTAGTAAAAGCTAACATTTTGGGATGCCTGCTTATTGATACTATTCGTATTCTATGTCTACTTATTGATACTATTCTTAAAAAGCGGTAAATTTTCAACTTCTAAATTTCATCATCTAACTTGTGGGTGCCTACTTCCTCTACTTTTCCCTAGTTTCCTTATCTAGTGTTATTATAGAGCACATTTCTCCTTAAAGTTTGCTATACCAAAGTCATGTGCCCTTGCAAACCTTCCTATTGAATCCTTTTGCTTATTCAGTGATTTTTATGTAGAATACCTTATTTCATAGAACTATTCATTGTTTGGAGTATGACTAGACACAAGAAAGCAATATGTTCTGTTCTCCCTTGAAATCTTGTACCCCTGATTTAGCTTGTGCTAATAGGAGAGATACCAAATCTCGTCTTATGCTTGTTTGAAGGTAAAAGGAGATCTAAATCAGATGAAAGTGACTCTAATGACGAGAATTTGCCTAAAAAAGATCTGTCCCTACAACAAGCAGTGGATCAGATCACTACCTCATTTGGAAAGGGATCTGTCATGTGGTTGGGTCGGTCTCTCTCTCCTAAACAGGTTCCAATGGTGTCTACAGGATCTTTTTCTCTGGATATTGCGTTGGGGATTGGTGGACTTCCAAAGGTAAATCTTTCAGTAGTTGGAATTTATGCGATTATTTATTTTCCATGATGCAAAAATTTCATACAACTAATATTTAGAGTGAGTTTGTTGTATCCTGCAACTGTTTTCTATTTTCTAGGAGCAACACTCTATACAAAAAATCAAAAAATAAAAATAAAATCAAAGCAAAACAACAAAAGACGAAATTGAGTGGAAAGCAGAGCATCAGTTTTCTGACCCTTCCATAGGCATTGATATCGAGGCCATTAGCAAGTAGTTGAGCCAAATTACTCCTCAGAAACCTCTGCGTCACCTCCTTCCTCCTCCGCAGCACATCGATTCGAGTCCTCGTCAGCTTAATCGACGATTTGCTGCATTGCCAAACACAAATCAACAATGCCATCACTACATTCAAATTTACCTATACATATATATATATATATATAGACACAGAGAGAGCGAGAGAGAGAGAGAGAGAGATTGCAGTAACCATTTGGAGCTAAATCCTCGCCTTAATAGTCTGTCCAACATCTTCAATCTCTGTTCTTTGATTGATTGAAGAGCTCAAATGCATATACAGCGAGCAATTAGATCCACCACTACACATACACATATACAAGAAGCTATATATATGTACATATATATTTATGCATGTGAGTGGGCTTTTTTAATTTTTTTTTTCTTTTTTCTTGGTACAAAACGACATTGTTTTACAATTGGCGACCAAATTTTTTTGTCGCAAAAAAAATTCAATTCCCACCTCCACGTTTCAAATTCTCCCCCCAAACTTTTGCCAACCAAAAGACCAAATTAGTCGCAGAAAATGTACCTTCGCCGGCAAACGTTTTTAGTCGCCAAATCTCAATCAACGGTGACTAAAATATTAGTCGCTAAAAGTACTAATTTGGCGACTAATTTTTTTTTGGTTGCTGAAAATAAGTTTTTGGCGACTAAATTTTTGGTCGCCAAAAAAAAAAAAAATTATTTTTCATTTGGCGACTAAATTGTTTTAGTAGCCAAAACGCAATATACGGCAACTAAAATATTTTTGGTCGGGGAAAATAAGTTTTTGGCGACTAAAATTTTGGTGGCCAATTCCACAACCAACTTATTTTTTATCTTCTACGACCAACTTATTTTTTGGTCGCCAAAACGTGACCTTCTGCGACTAAATTTGTAGTTGGTCGCCAAAAGCATATCACTTTTTGCGACCAACTCATTTTTTGGTCGCAAATGTGACCTTCTACGACCAACTCATATTTGGTCGCAAAAAATAATGATCATTCGCGACTAATTAATATTTGGTCGCCAAAAGGTAACTTTTAGCTACCAACTTTTCCAAAAGACCAAATTAGTCGCAGAAAGTGTACCTTCGCCGACAAACGTTTTTAGTCGCCAAATCTCAATCAACGGTGACTAAAATATTAGTCGCTAAAAGTACTAATTTGGCGACTAATTTTTTTTTGATTGCTGAAAATAAGTTTTTGGCGACCAAATTTTTGGTCGCCAAAGAAAAAAAAAATTATTTTTCATTTGGCGACTAAATTGTTTTAGTAGCCAAAACTCAATATACGGCAACTAAAATATTTTTGGTCGGGGAAAATAAATTTTTGGCGACTAAAATTTTGGTGGCCAATTCCACAACCAACTTATTTTTGATCTTCTGCGACCAACTTATTTTTTGGTCGCCAAAACGTGACCTTCTGCGACTAAATTTGTAGTTGGTCGCCAAAAACATACCACTTTTTGCGACCAACTCATTTTTTGGTCGCAAATGTGACCTTCTACGACCAACTCATATTTGGTCGCAAAAAATAATGATCATTCGCGACTAATTAATATTTGGTCGCCAAAAGGTAACTTTTAGCTACCAACTTTTATATTGGTCACAGAAAATGGTCGCTAAAAATGCAGATTCTTGTAGTGATTATAGATATTTTTTTTTATAGTTTCAAAAATTACAAAAGTAATAAAAAATAATATGGCTATTATTTTTAAAAGTAAGAGAGATCTGTGTAATTTTTGAAACTACAGAAGAAGTATCTGTAATTAAGGTAAATCTCAGGAGAAGTAAGTGTAATTTACCCAAAAAGAAAAAAAAAAAACTATGCTTTGCAAATTTTCAAATTAGGACCGTAGTGTTGTGAACCTAATATTAGATTTGAAACTTATGATTATATAATTTCATATTTTTGTGTGAAAGTATGTCGATTTAGAGTTTAAAATATTTTTAATTATCAAACTGGAAAAAAAATTCATGTACTACGATGTAGGTAAGGTTATGCACTAATTGAATAAAAATCTTGACTCCGCACCAGACTCAGTTGACATAGCTAAGCTGCTGGAGGAAAGAAAGGCAATGCATATGCAGATTTCATTAACCTAAAATTTCTTTCAATTTCATGGTGGGTCTAGGGACCATGAGGGGAACAAACCCTGATCTATGGCAATAGCATTCAAGTGACACATATTTGTTAGTACTTGTCAAAAGAGACATTGGTATATTTTACTACTGGTCATGATAGACAAAGACATGCATGTAACAAAATGGGTCCTCATCAAACTATAGCAATAATTGTTGTTGCTATTTGAGATTATGTTGTATACAGTAACCCAACTTTCTCTATCACTTTTGTGGGGAAAGGAGGTCCCCCTTTTCGCCTCCCAAAACAATCCAAAACCCAATCCTTGACCCACCACATCAATAATTCAAGCCATATTGTGTAGATCTTAACTCAAAATGAAAATTTATTGCAAAAAATTATTAAGAGTGCAATTCCCATCATTACGAAAGTTGTCACTAAAAAGTTATTTTAAAAAGTAAAAAAAAAAAAAGATTTTTAGTGACAATTTAAAAAATGTAGCTTATAAATATTTTTTTCATGAATAAAACAATTTTGTGTCAGAAAAATTTACTTTTTGAAATGAAAAATTTTGGTCCTCCCAAAAAATAATTCATCACTAAATGTCCAATTTTATCGATACAAATACACCAATGAAACCATCTAAAAAAAATACAGTAATGAAAGTAATATTCTATGCTTAAATTTTAATTTGCTATAGTTTCCTTCTATCTCGTATTTGGTGACCAGTCAAACATAAGAAAGATTATCAATGGACCCATCTAGTGGAATCTATAACATGTGCTTTAACCAGTGGAACAAATGCCAAACTTAAGTAGTGGAGCAAATTGTGAAATGAAAAATGTCTCGTAATTCAAATTTTGTGTCTTAAAAGTGGTTCAAATGATAAAAACGTCGTTTTGGCCATTTTTATGTTGTTCTGTACTCAAAACGACGTCGTTTTGGCCATTTGAGTCACTTTTGAATCACAAAATTTGAGTTACGTAGCATTGTCGTTGTGAAATTCTACAAACCCCTTTGTTAAATTAGTAAAAAATATTAAGAATGTAAACTCTAACACAATGAGACTTCACTAAGAAAATATAGGCATTCATTGATGATTTCATTATTTATTTATTTATTATTTAATTAATAATGTGTGCTGCCTTATATTTTATAATCAAAATTTGATCCTAATCAGTTTGTTTAAAGTTATGCATTATCAGGTGTAGGAGGGTGAACCTGTTTTTGAAAAGTCTGTCCAACTTTTAGTGCGTTTTGGTGTATGGGGCTTATTTAGGCCATTTGGGAACTGTGTAATAGGTAGGCATGGCAATCAACATGTACTTCATCAAGTGGTGATATGAAAAAGGTGTTTAATTTAAGGGAGATTTATAGGCCAGTCGTATTAAGTAGACGGGTATTGTTTATTGTATATAATTTTATCATAAAATATATAAATTTTATGAAATTATATAATTAATCTCATAAAAATATATAAGTTGAACGTAAATTTAAATAAATTCACTTTTATGAATAGACTTATATGAATTTGTGTTCAACTTATAAATTTTTATAAAATTACTCATGTAAATTTGTAAAAACTTAAGGCATAGTTTGGGAAGTTGGTTTTGGTGGGTTAGGGGCTAAAATAGTCACAAAAAATAATATAGGCTATTTTAGTCACAAAAAATAAAATATCAAATCCAATCCATAATCATGATATTCCTCTTTCACAAAAAAATCAAAAAAGTCAAAAAGTCAAAAAAAAATTTCCAAATCAAACTTTTTAGCTCCAGATTAAAATAACCAAAAAATTAAAAAGTTAAAAAGTCAACCCACTTCCCAAACGGAGACTAAGTAATTTTGTAGTAGAGCTATATATGGCGTGCATTTATTACACACCGCAAAATTGGTCAAATAAATATTTTAAGCCTAATTAGGTGGTGTTTGGCAAGTTGGGTTGGGGCTAAAATAGCCACAAAAGACAAAACAGGCTATTTTAGCCACAACAAACAAAACATCACATCCAACCCATAATCATTACACTCTTCTCTCACAAAAAAAGTCAAAAAAGCCAAAAAGCCAAAAAGCCCTTCCCAAACCAAGCTTTTTAGCCCAGGCTAAAATAGCCAAAAAAGCCAAAAAGCCAAAAAGCCAACCCACTTCCCAAACGGAGGCTTAGTGCCTAAAAAAGTGTACAACACTCGTACGTATTTAAGTCTATTATACAGTACTGCTGGCTAGTAATTTACCATTAAGTTTTAAATGTAGCTACCATTCTTAGGTATATCTAATACACCTAATTATATAATGAGTAATGCTACATATCATGAAATAAATATCATGAAAAACTTCATGAAACTAATCCAAGGGTGAATGTATAATATACAATAAAACACTACAAACACTATAATCTAATCCAATGGTGGAAAATCTTCATGAAAACTTTTCATGACATTATTTTCATGATACCTAGCATTATTGTTATATAATATTTGACACTGTATACGTAGATGGAATTGATACCTAATAGTCAAACTTTCCACCAAGAAGCCAATGTTCACTTACACTTTGACTACGGCGGAAGAAATTACACTGAGTTTGAGCCTCCGTTTGGGAAGTAGGTTGGCTTTTTGACTTTTTGACTTTTTTGACTATTTTAATCTGGGCTAAAAAGCTTGGTTTGGGAAAGTTTTTTTGGCTTTTTGGCTTTTTTGACTTCTTTTGTGAGAGAAAAGTGTAATGATTATGGGTTAGATGTGATGTTTTGTTTGTTATGGCTAAAATAGTCTATTTTGTTTTTTATGGCTAAAATAGCCAAAAAAGCCCAACCAACTTCTTCCCAAACGGTGCCTGAATGAGGTGATTTGATCAGAAATAATAAAAAAAATAGTTAATTACATGAAAATCTTATGTACAAATAGGGATTTTTTTTTTAAGGTCCCTGGTATTATTATTTTATGGCATAAAAGACATTCAATATTTTTATAATGTCTAAGGTCTCTCAACATCAATGCAGAAAAAATTCGATTCAGAGAAAATTCAAGTCAGAGAAAATTTAACCAAAGAAAATTCAATCCAGTGAAATTCTTTGGTCCAAACGCAGAGAAAATTCAATTTAATCCAGAGAAATTCTCTGGTCAAAACCAGAGAAAATTCAATTCAGTGTTATTCTTTGGTAAAATTGGACTGATTAAGATGGAGTCCATTGATTCACTGAATTCAATTCAGTGAAATTCTTGAATTTTCAATTGAATCAGTGAAATTCAATTCAGTGAATCAGAATAAGAATGCTCTGAATCAGAATGACCAACCAGAGAAATTCACTTGTAAACCCATTGAAACAATGAAAACATACCTGGAAACATAGCAAGCTATTTAATCAACAATCCAGGACTTCACTCTTCATGCTGCTGAGAAATCCTTCTACAAAATACTTAATGAGAAATATCCTTCATTGCCCAGTTAGCCACTGCACCATGATGATCCAAGCAGCAGCAGCTTAGATGATAGCATTACTCACTGTTGCAGCAATTGCAAACTCTATTGAATCATCCATGATTACAGATCTCCACAAGTATGAATCTTCTCAAATACATAACCCTTATATTGACCACACCTTACCGATCAATTCACAATCATTCTACTCTTCTGGCTACTCTGGTCATACTGCACTAGTGGAGTCTCTTTTGAATCCGGTTTTAGAGAGTCGATCTAGTTGGCAATTCAATAAGGAGTTTGATGGCTTCAGTGACTTGGATACATATATACAGAGAAAATCTCATCACCAGAGAATTTCTCTGGATTCAATCTAGAGAAATTCTTTGACAACAACAATAACCTAAAACAATGGCTTGAATTATTGGATGTCATCCATTCATCCATCAATCCCAAAAACCCAACTCAGTCAAATCTACGGTGTGTTATTTGTGTGCTACAGTGAGGTGGTTGAAGAATTTCTCTGGGTTGAAGTGTCTAGAGAAAATTACGGTTCTCTCTTCTTTTCCAGAGAAATTCTAAACCAGAAAAATTCAGAGAAAATTAAACATCACAGAGATAATTAAACATGCCAGAGAAAATTATTTTTTGACCCATTCAGAGAAAATTTATCAAACTACAGAAAATTTCAGTTCTCCTCTTCCAGAGAAATTCTAGAATTTCTCCCGAATCAGAGAGTCATGGGGTGGGCAGTGCTTCAAAGAAACCACATTTGTAAAAACTGTTATACAAAGCTACACTGAATTTGATTTTACAAACATTAGCAGCAGGGTCTGGACTTGAAGCTACAGTTATATAAGCAATTATTTGTGTAACAAATATTACATACAAGCCTAGTAATCCAACCAAGCAGCGGGTATCGGCTGAAATTTATGCTTCGCCGCCGCCGACGATTCGACGGCGGTTTCAACCGCCGAAGACGACGACCCAGCACGGATCTCCACACGAAACCCATCAACCAGCTTGTCCATGGCGACCTTGGCCAAGGCGGCATGCTCTTCTGTGATCCGGAAGTCTCTGTAGCACTTGGAGCACAAGTTCAACGTCGCTACTGCGCCGAAGAAGCCACACCCGTTGGGGCAGAGCTTTGTCTCTGATGGTTGGAAGCTCATGCTGTCGGTGCTGTCGCTCATCCCTTCAGAACCCATCTCTCTTTCTCTCTCCTCCTTCACAAAACCAAAAAAAAAATTTAGGTTAGGATTTGTGAATCAAAATCTCTCTCTTCGTGTTCGATGCTTTGATAGCAAACGGCCTTCAGGTTTATGTTGGTTTGGGCACACAAACAACCTTCGATAGTTCAGGGGCAAAGAGTCGAATTTCTCTGATATATGTTTAGGGACTTTAGGCATCAAAAAATAATTTTGTGGACCTCTTCCCTTACAAAAAGTGGGAGAGGGACCTTAGACCAATTTTCCCTAACAAATATTATGGTAGTTTAGATTATATTTAAGATTTTTTGAATCAATAAGTCATATTTAGTAAAATTAAGAATATTATCAATTTTTTTTAATTTTTAAAACTAAGAACAGTATCAATTTTAAATAGTAATGTTCCAGATAATTGTTTCACTAACCGATGGAAAAAAAAGAAGAAGATGAGATTAAATATTTTTGTCTTTCTACTTATTGGTTTGATTTAATTATCCAATAAAATTGAGAACATTATCAATTTTTTTTCTAGTTTTAAAACTATGAATATTATCAGTTTTTTTATTTTTTATTTTTTTTTTCAATTTTGTACATTAAAATTTTCAGTTTTGCACAAAAAAATAATTCAATTTTTTCAAAAAAAATTAAATTTTTTTTTTGCACATAATTTTTTTTTAGTTTTTCTAATTTGAAAGTTGATGTTTTAAAGTTTTGAAAATCAAAATAAATGTCAAATCATCATATTCCTTTATAAATAATCATAAATGATAAATAATTATTGTTTGAAGGATAATTTCAACTATTAAAAATTTAATGGAACTTAAAGGTTCAAAAAATATTAATTAATGGAGTATAAGTTTATAAATTAAAACTTGTCTGTAAATATTCTTAAAAAAATTATGAGATGAAAAACTCTTTTAACGTTTAGTTTATAAAATAATGAAAAATTCTGAAAAAGTTAATTTTGTTGTATTTTCTTATGGCTGCTGGCCTGTGAGATGCATGGGACAAAGGAAATTTTTGTCAAAATGATATCTTTTTTAATATAAAATTTAGATGGATTATTAACAGCACTCTTTACTTCACCTTGCATCATTTGAATTAGTCAAGTATTAGATTTAAGCTTAACAAAGAGAAACATATATTAGTCAAGCATTATAAATTTAATTGGTAAATTTTGTTGTATAAATTTATTGTATCGAATATTGCCTTCATCTAAAGTGGTGATGTTTATACCAGATGGCCTACAGTTTTAATTTACCAACACCGTATAAGATAAATCTTTTGTCAAAAAAATTTATTACGGACAAAAATACGACTTCACTAGAAATGATATTTTAATTAAAAATTAAGTAAAATTATATCGGCCACTTTAAGGTTTTAAAAAAATACAATAAATTTCATAACTTTATAATAATTATATTATTGATCTCCTTTTAGTGAAAGTTAAACTAATTGAGACTAATATAAATGATGCATAGACACGTATAGATAATTAAAAGTAATATATTTTAAGTATAAAAATTATGGAAAATATCAATTTTCCATCAGTAATGATTGATGAAAATGAAGCAAAATTTTATATCAATTAAAATTTTAAGGAATACAGTATAATTATGTTAAATTTTTAGGACTAAATGTATTTTTTTAATTTTAAGAGAATAGAGTATAATTATGTTAAAATTGTGGAACAGCGTAATTTACCCAAACAAATTAAAAAAGAGAGGAGGGGATGAAACAAGAACACCTGCAAATGTTTACAAATACACCATATGGGAAACACATTTGTTGGTGTTCTGAAGCCCTTGTCAAATAAAATTTTGTATATTTCTAAATTATTCAAAATTCCCTTATATAATTGGCTCACCTTCAAAAATTCATTAAAGGAAAATGTCTCGTAACTCAAATTTTGTGGCTCAAAAGTGGTTCAAATGGCCAAAACGACGTCGTTTTGGCCATTTTTATGTTATCTCCTTTTAGTGAAAGTTAAACTAATTGAGGCTAATATAAATGATGCATAGACACGTATAGATAATTAAAAGTAATATATATTTTAAGTATAAAAATTATGGAAAATATCAATTTTCCGTCAGTAATGATTGATGAAAATGAAGCAAAATTTAATATGAATTAAAATTTTAAGGAATACAGTATAATTATGTTAAATTTTTAGGACTGAATGTATTTTTTTAATTTTAAGAGAATAGAGTATAATTATGTTAAAATTGTGGAACAGCGTAATTTACCCAAACAAATTAAAAAAGAGAGGAGGGGATGAAACAAGAACACCTGCAAATGTTTACAAATACACCATATGGGAAACACATTTGTTGGTGTTCTGAAGCCCTTGTCAAATAAAATTTTGTATATTTCTAAATTATTCAAAATTCCCTTATATAATTGGCTCACCTTCAAAAATTCATTAAAGGAAAATGTCTCGTAACTCAAATTTTGTGGCTCAAAAGTGGTTCAAATGGCCAAAACGACGTCGTTTTGGCCATTTTTATGTTGTTCTGTACTCAAAATGACGTCGTTTTGGCCATTTGAGCCACTTTTGGGCCACAAAATTTGAGATACGTAACATTGTCTTTCATTAAATTCATATTCAGATTGAAATTAAAATTTGTATTTTATAGATTTAAAAGTACACCCCTCATGTGAGCATAATATATAAATAGATGTATTTATAAACAATGTACAACCAGAATTACAAAATGCAAATAATTATTTGTGTATTTTTATAGACTGAACAAAATCATACTAACCACAAAATCTCTGAAGAAATTTTTTCTTGAAATAAAAAAAGTCTCTTCTAGTTCTAGCCACACATTCCCTTCATTGCTTTTGGCTTATATTGAAGACAAAACCATAATGGATCGATTATTGTCTTTTACTTTGGCAGCTGAGAGATTTTTTTTCTTAAGCCTTGGAGTTAGGTTTGGCAAATTATTATTATTATTATTGTACGGGGAGGAAATAATTCTCCTCGTATAATCCTGTTGACCAAGTCCACGCTCCTCCGTACGACGTCGCTTTGTCACCTGAAAACACAAACGTGAGCTGGCCGGCGGGTGTGTGCCGGAAACCTCTCCGATACCTAAGTCAGAAAACTTGACAAATAGACAAAGCTCTATGTTCTCAGAAAGAATTATGTTCAATTACCTCCTCCAAGGTGATGCTTGTGGGCTTTTCCAAGTTTTCCGTGGCACAATCCTAGTAGGACTTGTACTTCTCCATGCAGAGTCCTCCTAGGATTTATATTCCAATGGATAATGCTTATCCTTTTACACCCTCCCCCACTGCTTAAACCAAGTGGGATGGTTTTCTCCATGGCCGAATTACCATGTGACCGAAATAACACTGGCTATGCTGAGCCACAGATTAGGCCGACCTATCCTTAGTTCGGTTTTGCTCGCTACACCATATCTCGATTCTCCTTTGCTCAACCCATGGTGTGTTTGGACCGAAACAACGACTCTCGACCGGTATAACTCCAAGACCGGTACACCTCTAAAGCCGATGTAGACTTCAAGACCGGTCTAGCTCCAAGCTGTTCCAGGACCGAAGTACATTTACAACCTTTCAACCGAAGTAACTCTATCTTTTATTGAGCTGAAATAACTTTTACCTCTCCTGGCCGGAGTAATTATACCTTCCTGAGCCGGAGTAACTACACTTCTCCTGGGCCGGAGTAGCGTTGCGGCCTTCCCACCCAGTCCTTCGCACTTTGGGCCACAAAGCCCATCACATAGCTCGGCCCAATTTTTACCAAAAATTACCCTCTCAATTATTATTATTTTGTGACTTTCTGACTGAAGTTGTGTGGTTAAAAAAAATGAAGCATTCATTTAACAACTAAATTAAACAATATATATTGTACATCTTTTAATTGCATTTGAAAAATATGACTTTTTGGCTTTCGTATAATTAAAAACATTAAGGCCAAGTTTGGCATACCTCAAATAATCTATCTTTTTATCTTTTTTTCATCACATCACCTCTCTACTTTTCTGCACATCTTTTCGTAAAAAGATAAAAAGTGCACTTATTTAAGTCATCCCAAACAATCCTTTAACTTTACTTTTTGAAATTTATTGGCCCAATTTTTATTTTTTATTTTTTGGCCAAGTTTGGCATGATTGAAAAAAGACAAAAAGTCAAAAAGTCACTATCCTATTTAAGTCACGTCATCTTATTTAAGTCACATCACCTCTCTAACACATCACTTTAAATCCAATCTAAATCCAACCCATATTTCATAAAAAGTCAAAAAATATACTTATTTAGTCTTCCCAAACTAGGCCTTTATTTTGTCGCAAAACACATCTGCACTGCACATCTTGGGATAGACTGGTCCTTCACAACTAGCTCTTGTCATGGAGAAATTATTGGGTGGCACATGTGTAATGTTAATTGGTGCTCTATCAGCAGTTGATTGGTGAATGTTTCGATAAATTGATAGTAATTTATTGACACGATCCTACTAGCAAGGTGCCTAGCTAATTGATATGTGATGTGATTAGTTAGGAGATTTAAGTGGAGATTTGAAATAAAAGAAAAAATATGTATAAAATTAAATAAAATATAAATATATTTTATTTTTATTTTATTTTATTTTTTTCAAACCACTCCTCAAATCTATAAATCAAATATAGCAGCGCAAGTGTAACACATAATATTGTTCCTGAAAAAGGCTAATAATATCCCTTGCTATGTGGTGTGACTGATGTCGACTGACCTATGCCCTACAACCAAGGATTAGACTTAAAATAATGAGAAATGCTTTAGACCATTAATAATTAGTGGTGGCTTTAATGATGTGACAGTGAATTTTACCGATTATTACAATGGGTTTATGTCTTGTTTTTTTTTTTTTTTCATTGCCACCTCACTAGTGATGAGATTAATGATGACAAATTAATGATCTGCATTGCTCTAAAATAATTTCACATTCTTTTTTTTTTGTGAAACAATCCTTGTTATTAGATGTGTGTGGTTTGTTATCAAGGTAAAGAAGATATATAAAGAGGTCATCCACGGCTCATTCTTGAATTTAAGGATTTGTGATTGATGATCCTTATGAACACATTTTCTTTATCTAAAGAGTGAACTGCTACTTAAATTTTGAAAAAATTAGTCTAAGGTCTCTCTCTTATTTTTAGTAATGAAAAAGATCCATAATATTATTTTATGATGTCTAAGATCCCTAC